CTCCCGCGCCAGCCGGGCCTGGGCACCCTGGGCCTCCCGCGCCCGCTGCCCCGCGAGGGACAGCGCCTCACGCAGCTCCTGCACCTGGGCAGGGGAGACGACACCCACGGGTGAGACCACAGCAGCCTCAGGTGAGCTCAGCACCCACATATCCCATTTCCCACATCCCCATATCCCATTTCCCACATCCCCATATCCCCTCATATCCCTCCCAAGTCCCCACAGGTGCCCCGCAGGTGCCCCACAGGTGCCCACCTGTCCCAGCCGCTGTCCCAGGTGGTCCCGCAGCCCCCGGTTGTGCTCCCGCAGCTCCTCCAGCGCCGCCTGCAGCCCCTCGGGGTCAGCGGGGGGGGGACTATGGGGGGGACATAGGGGGGTGCGTGGGAGGGTATAGGGGATGGATGGGGGATAAGGGGGAATACGGGATAAGGGACACCTGGGACTACAGGGGACACGTGGAGGGGCTGTAGGGGACACACAGTGGGTGTGTCCAGGAAGGGGCGTGTCCGGGGAGGGGCGTGTCCTCACTCACCTGTGTCGGGGGCCGTGTCCCACCTGAGTGGCCGCTCGGTCCCGCTCCTGCTCCGCCTGGCGCCGGCACTGCCGAGCCTCCTCCACGGCCTGGGGGCGGGGCTTGCATGGACACGCCCACCGGGGACACGCCCACCAGCCCAGCACCACCCATAGTCTGATATAGCCCCGCCCATTGTTCCTCAGCCCTGCCCACTGATCCTTAGCCCCACCCATCAGTCCTTAACCCCACCCATTGGGCCTTAGCCCCACCCATCAGTCCTTAACCCCACCCATTGGTCCTCAGCCCCACCCATCAGTCCTTAACCCCACCCATTGGGCCTTAGCCACACCTCCCTGCCCTTTAGCCTGGCCCCTTAGTCCTTTAGCCCTGCCCATTTATCATTAGCCCCGCCCTTTCCCTTGGCCCCACCCACCTCTCGCAGCCGCTGAAGCTCCTCCCCCCGTTCCCGGCACTGCGACTCCGCCTCCTGCGCCCGAAGCTCCGCCCCTGCACGGGCAGCACGGGCAGCCTGGAGCTCCGCCCACAGCAGCTGCCCCGCCTCCTGCAAACGGGGCCGGGTCAGGGACAGGCCACACCCCTCGACCACGCCCCCTTTAACCCCACCTCAGCCAGGCCCCCACCCTCTCAGAGGCTCCTCCCCCTCCCAGGCCACGCCCCCTCAGACCACACCAATTTAGCCCAAATTCAGCCACACCCCCACCAGAGGCTCCACCCCCTTAGGACCCTCCCCCTGACCACACCCACATCCCATAAAGCACCACCTACCTTTCTAAGTCCCACCCCATTTCACCAGCCACCCCTCAGACCACGCCTCTTTAGCCCCACCCACAGCCACACCTGTCATAGGCCCCGCCCCATCCAACCCCACCCCCTCCCTGGCCTCGCCCACCTGCTGCAGCCGCAGTCTCTCATTGGCCCGGTCCCTGGCCCTGCAGGCCCCGCCCATCCGGGCCTGGGCCCCACCCACAGCGATCTCCAGTGCACGCAGGGCCCCGCCCTCCACCAGGCCACGCCCTCTCTCTGCTGCCAGGCTCCGCCCCAGCGCCGCCACCTGATTGGGGAAGACCATGATTGACAGCTCACATGGGACAGGCCACGCCCCCGTCTGGGTGATGGGCAGCCCCTTGTCCCGCCCCCAGGGTGATTGACAGATTATTGCTCCACCCACCAGGGTGATGGACAGTCCTAAGCCCCTCCCACCAATGTGATTGACAGCCCCAAGCCCCACCCACCTGGTTGCTGAGGTCCCGCAGCTCCTCCTCCAGGTCCCGCCGGTGCTGGGAGGGGGGGGGACATTTGGGGGGCAGGAACCAAAATCTGGGGGGTCCCAAAGTCCAGGAGGGGTCCCAGGGTTTTGGGGAGTCCCAGGAATCCAGGAACTCCCAGAGTCCAGGCAGTCCCAAAATCTGGGGGGTCCTCGAGTCGCGGGGTCCCGGGGATTTGGGGGTCCCAGGAATCCAGGGGGTCCCAGGTGTGGGAGGGTCCCAGGGTTTTGGGGGTCCCAGGAATCCAGGGGGGCCCAGGTGTTGGAGGGTCCCAGGGATTTTGGGGGTCCCAGGAATCCAGGGGGTCCCAGGTGTGGGAGGGTCCCAGGGTTTTGGGGGTCCCAGGGATCTGGGGGGTCCCAGAGGTCCGGGGTGAGGGGGGATCCCAGGACCCCCGGGGGTCCCTCCCAGGGTGGGCAGGACCCCAAACCTTGCAGGGGGTGGGGGCGGGAGGTCACTTCCTGGGAGGTCCCAGGGGGGTCCAGGGGGATTCGGGGGGGATGGGCCAGTTCCCACGGGGTGGGGGAGGGGCGCCGAGGGCCCCGTGTCGCTGTCCCCGCCCCGTGTCCCAATTCCAGCCCGGGGCTGGCGGGGGGCCAGGGGGGCCCCGAGGGGGGCGGGGGGGCTCCGGCCAAGGGGGGAGACGGGGCGGGGAAACCCCAATGCCCGGAATCCCCCCCTCCTCCACCCCCTGGGACCCCCAAATTGGGGTCGGGGCTCCCCTGGGTACCGAGGGGTCCCCCATCACCGCGGGGTCCCCCCTCCCATCCCTGTATCCCCCCAGCTGGGGGTCTCACCCCGTACCCTGAGGGTCCCCCATCCCTGTGTCCCCCCCATCAACCGGGGGGGTCCTCACAGCCCATCCCTGTGTTCCCCCCATCCCTGTGTCCCCCCCTCATTAACTGGGGGTCATCCCCCCATCCCCTGGGAGTCCCCCCCTTTCCCCGTCCCCCCCACACCCCTCAGGAGTCCCCCCCACTCACCTGTACCAGCCTGGGGGGGCTGCGCCGCCCCCTGTCCCCCGTGTCCACCATGGGGGGGAGGCTCTGGAACAACAGAGACCCCGGGGAGACCCTACAATAACACCACAGCCCCCCCAAAGCAGCCGCAGCCCCGGGCGGGGACCCCCCGACAGCTTTGGGAGGGGCAGGTGGGGAAGGTCCGGCCTCCGGGGACCCCCTGCCCACCCTGGGGGTTCCCAGTCGCCAGTTTTTGGGGTCCCCTGCCCACCCGGGGGGGTCCCTGCCTCCCTGTCCCCCCTCACCTGTCCCGGTCCGGGCTCTGCCGGTGCCGCCCCCGCCGCAGGCACGGGACGGACCCGCGAGTGGCACCTCCGCGCTCCCCCGGGCCGGTCCCACGGGGGGGACACGGGGACACAGAGCCCGCCCTCCCCCTCCCCAACCCCCGCCCGCTCCCCCGGGCATCGCCCGGGCGGGGCCCTTCGGCTCCAGCGGCTCCCGGGCCACCCCCGCCCTGCCCGGGGGGCACCGGGGCCTCGGGGCACCCCAGGGTGTCACCTCTGCCCTCACCCGGGGGACACGGGGGGCTCGGGGCCCCCCGGATTTGGGTGGCACCTCAGGGTGTCACCTCTTTGTCTGCGGGACTCAGGTGTCCCAGGACACCCCAGAATTCGGGTGTCACCCCCAGTGTCTCCTCCTGTCTTCACCCGGGGGACTCAGGTGTCTCAGGGCACCCTGGAATTCGGGTGCCACCCCTGGGTGTCACCCCCGCCCGAGGGGACACAGGTTTCAGGGCACCCCGGAATTTGGGTGTCACCTCCTGCCCTTGCCCAGGGGTGGGAGAAGCGGTGATGTCACGGTGTGGGGGTGACGTCACAGGGAGGGGAGGGGACGGTGACACCACGTGAGTGACACAGGGGAGGGGCCAGGGGGGACAAGGGGGTCGGGGGGGGTCACACAGCGGGTGTCCCCGGTGGGAACAACACGAGGGACATCAGTGACATGGGATGACACGGGGTGACACAAATGGACTCAGGTTGGCCTACACGGGTCAACAGGGAGCAGAGCAGAGTCACGGGGGCCAACGTGGGTCAACACGGAACAGCACGGATTGACACGGGCCAACATGGGCCAATATGGATTGACACGGGCCAACATGGGCCAATATGGATTGACATGGGCCAACATGGGCCAATATGGATTGACATGGGCCAACATGGGTCAATATGGATTGACACGGGCCAACATGGGTCACTATGGATTGACATGGGCCAACATGGGCCAATATGGATTGACACGGGCCAACATGGGCCAATATGGATTGACACGGGCCAACATGGGTCACTATGGATTGACACGGGCCAACGTGGGTCACTATGGATTGACACGGGCCAACGTGGGTCACTAGGGACTGACACGGGCCAACATGGGCCAATATGGATTGACACGGGCCAACATGGGTCACTATGGATTGACACGGGCCAACGTGGGTCACTATGGATTGACACGGGCCAACGTGGGTCACTAGGGACTGACACGGGCCAACATGTGGATGCCGCGGAATTCTCCGGCCCGCCAGGGGGCGCCGCTCCCGCCCCGCGGCCGCTCCCGCCCCTCTCTGTGATCCGCATTCATTTCCGGTCTGGTCAGGCAGAAGTGACGTCAGAGAGCGGCGGCGGCGGGAGTGCGGTGAGCGGGGGAGGAGCCGGTTTGAGGGGTTCTGGGGAGCTTCTGGGGGGTCCTGGAGGGTTCTGGAAGGTTTTCGTGTCGCGACAGGTCGGTGACATCGCGCGCGGTGCTCCCGGCCGCCCCGTGACGTCATCGGCGCTGTCCGCGGCACCCGGTGACGTCACACGGGGTGTCCCCAGCCCTCGGTGACCCCCTGGAAAATGTCCCAAACCCCTGTGTCTCCTTCCCCAGGTACCGCCGGCCTCGTCACTGTCACCGTGTCCCCACTGTCCCTGTGTCCCCACTGTCCCCTCCATCCCCGTGTCTCTGACATCCTCTCCATTCCTCCATCCCTGTGTCCCCTCCATCCCTCCACCCCGGTGTCCCCGGTGTCCCCCTTTGCCCCCAGTGTCCCCCTGTCCCCGCTGTTCCCCTGTGCCCCCAGTGTCCCCCGGCGTGCCCGCGGCGATGCCGGAGGCCGTTCACTACATCCACCTGCAGAACTTCAGCCGCTCGCTGCTGGAGACGCTCAACGGGCAGCGGGTGGCGGGGCAGTTCTGCGACGTCACCGTGCGCATCCGCGAGGCCTCGCTGCGCGCCCACCGCTGCGTGCTGGCCGCGGGCAGCCCCTTCTTCCATGACAAGCTGCTGCTGGGCCACTCGGCCATCGAGGTGCCGCCCGTGGTGCCCTCGGCGGCCGTGCGGCAGCTGGTGGAGTTCCTGTACAGCGGCAGCCTCGTGGTGGCACAGTCGGAGGCGCTGCACATCCTCACCGCGGCCTCGGTGCTGCAGATCAAGACGGTCATCGACGAGTGCACCCAGATCATCTCGCAGAGCCGCGGCCCCGCCGTGATGCCCCCGGCCCAGAAACTGCCGCCGGGGCCGCCGGCGGAGCTGGAGAACTTCTCGGAGCCGTTGCCGAGCGGCCACAGCCGGAAGCAGCGGCAGCCGCTGCGCCTCGCGCCGACGCTCAAGGAGGAGGAGGAGGCGGCGGAGGAGGAAGAGGAAGATGAGGACGGCGGTGCCCAGGAGGGCGTTGTCCCGCCCGGCACGGCCCTCCCTGCTTTCCCGGCTCCAGACCCACCGTTTTTCGGTGCCCCCGAGGCATTCCCGGACACGTTCCTGGCGCCC